AAGTTCCCAATTAGTTGACTTTTACGTCATGCCTTTGGGTAGGCAGTGGGTCTATTCTTTTTTTGTCCCCTGTTATAGAGCCCCGGAACCCACACGGGAAGGACCAATATTCAACATAATATCCGTATTCATGGGTCTCTGGTTTACACATGACCACTTCTGATTTCTAGTTCTTTTTCCCCTGGGTCTCTTCAGCCTTGGGTATTCCATGCTGCACCTATCCTGGCATGGGCTTTTTGGCTGGTTTGTTATGACTGTGAGCTACAATTCATACCGATGTCATCACAAGTATATTTGCTTGAATACTTCTGTGTGTGAACCTTGTGTTTCTTCTTCAGCCTTGGGTATTCCATGCTGCACCTATCCTGGCATGGGCTTTCTGACTGGTTTGTTATGACTGTGAGCTACAATTCATACCGACGTCATCACAAGTACATTTGCTTGAATACTTCTGTGTGTGAACCTTGTGTTTCTTCTTCAGCCTTGGGTATTCCATGCTGCACCTATCCTGGCATGGGCTTTCTGACTGGTTTGTTATGACTGTGAGCTACAATTCATACCGACGTCATCACAAGTACATTTGCTTGAATTGAATACTTTTGTGTGTGAACCTTGTGTTTCTTCTTCAGCCTCCCTTTTGTTCACTGGTTGTGAACTGCAGCGGAAAGTTCTGGTTGTTCGTCTGGGCTTTAGTCTTCTTGCAGAACCTGAGTGTTGCATGCACATCTGTTTTACAGATCTAGCTTATTTGTATGCAAGTTGTTAGTTCTTTGCCTCTCAGGCACATGCACTTCTACTTTGAAGGATGCCCCAATTAGTTGACTCCCATTCTTCTTCTTTTTTCGTTCGCTTGAAATAGATTATCTATATCTGCAATGTTGTCTCTAGTATGAACTTCTCTGTCTTTTGTAATTTACTCAGCGACCCGTAAAGTTTGACTTGCACCGATGTTTCTCTTGGCCAAAAGTTTTGCCTTGATATGTTGTATTTGGGACAGTCTTGGAGAACATGATCTGTTGTCTCAGGTTCCAATCCACATGTGCACATGGCTGATTCACCGATTGTAAATTGTGTATACATGGCAATTGTGTCCTGTTCTAAGGACAAACAAAAAAGACAAAGAGAAAGAAAAATTTTCAGTAAGGTCAGGATCTGTTTTTGTTTGGTGCAAAAATAAAATCTCAACTTGCAATGTCCGTGGCGACAGCACTAGAATCTTCGATAAGGTCAGAATTTTTTTCTGTTGGGGCAAAAATAAAATCCTAACTTGCACTGTCTGTGGTGACAGCACTAGCCATGCGGCCATGAACTCTCAGGGTCAAATACCCACCCCCCCCCCCCCTTCCCTAGCCTACACCACATAAGTGGTAAATAAATACAGGCAGTACTTCCTGGACCAGGTATCATATTGTCATGGCCTATCTGCACCTCCCTGTTGTCATTCTAGAAACAGGTTCCCAGCTGAGGGAACACCTTAGTGTGGATAGGATAGACATTTCCATTGAAGATGAGTGCATCTGTCTGAGAGGCAAAGAACCAACAGTCTACATGTAAGTGTAAGCTTTGTAGAACAGATGTGCACACTAAAAACAAGTCCTAGAACACCCTGTGTGGGTTATGTGACCCTATTGGATAGGAGGGTCGGATGATAGACACACTGCCCCTAAGAAGTCGTAAAAGTCAACTGATTATATCAAGAGTTGTAGTGCGTCTGCCTAAGAAGCAAGCAACCAACAGTCTGCATACAAGTAAGCCAGATCTGTAAAATAGACGTGCATGCAAAACTCAAGTTCTAAATGAAGTCTAAAGTCCAGATGTGGACAAACTTTCTTTAGGAGTTTACAGCCGGTGAATGCTAAGAACGAGAAGTCCTAGAAGAAGACCAAAATCCAGAAGTAGAGGAACCACCAGAGACCTCCTCCCCCAGCCCCTAATGTGTGTGGAGAAGAAGAAGAAATGCTCAGGTTGATCATTAAAAAAAATTTATAAGGTGATATTCAACAGATTATTTAAAACTTTGTTCACGACATCACAGTCAGGTATTTGTACATTTTCAGGAACTTGCACGGCAGTTACAGGAGAAAGAAAAAGAAAAATATGAGAAGCATCTGGAGAGAAAGAGAGAAAAGAGGCTGAAAAAGGAAAGACAGATTCTGGAAGCTGCTCTTGCCAGAGACTCAGAGGAGGCTAGATTGGTTCTAACTCAAGGTATGTGCTCCTGGGCCACACTGGTTCTAACTCAAGGTATGTGCTCCTGGGCCACACTGGTTCTAACTCAAGGTATGTGCTCCTGGGCCACACTGGTTCTAACTCAAGGTATGTGCTCCTGGGCCACATGGTTCTAACTCAAGGTATGTGCTCCTGGGCCACACTGGTTCTAACTCAAGGTATGTGCTCCTGGGCCACACTGGTTCTAACTCAAGGTATGTGCTCCTGGGCCACACTGTGTTCTAACTCAAGGTATGTGCTCCTGGGCCACACTGGTTCTAACTCAAGGTATGTGCTCCTGGGCCACACTGGTTCTAACTCAAGGTATGTGCTCCTGAGCCACACTGGTTCTAACTCAAGGTATGTGCTCCTGTCACACTGGTTCTAACCTTAGATATGTGCTTATTTCTTCTTTTGTCTTCATAATTAAGATGTCAAGCTGTTTGCCTCATGCTCAGGAGGGCGTGTGCTCAATTCAAGGCTGTGTCATTCGGTTCGCAAGGGCATTTGTGTGTGTAGATTCATGGTTGTCCCACGCATCATGTATACTTAAAATACTTATGTACGTACATACGTAAGAACATACTTACGTACATACATACATAAGAATATATGTATGTACATACATAAGAACATACATATGTACATACATACTTAAGAACATACATATATACGTACATACTTAAGAACATACATATGTACACACGTACGTAAGAACATACGTACTTACATAATACATACGCACACACTTATTCTAACTTTCTGCTGTTGCCACTTTTTTTTTTTTTTTTTTTTTCCATCGAACACCGGCTGTGAATTCCAGTGGAAGGTCCCGGTTAATCGTCCACTTGGACTTTTGGCTTTCACCTGGACCTGATTTTTGCGTGTACAACCGTTTTTCATTTCCCTGCCTCTTGGGCAGCTGTACGCCGACTTCGAAGGAAGACGTCAGGCCTATTTCTAGGGTGACTGTGGCCATTGTTTTGTGTGGGTCGAGACGTTGCCTGATTTGTGTGGTGTCCATTTTGTCGCCTTCGCCGCAGGTATTGCCCCCGGGGGTAGCCCCCTGTGGAACAGTTGGCCCTCAAGGGAAGGCAGGGGCAGATCATGGGCATTCCCCGCCATCCAAGGAGGCTTCCATGCATGCAGAGCCGGCACATATCGCTCTGTTTCTGGGCTCACCCAAGGAATCGTCACGTCCTGCACATGCCTGCTTAACCTCACAACCGTATCAGGCCTCCCGCTCGACAGGGGCTGCGCCCTCTGGAAGTCTGCGGGGAGCAGCCTTTGGGTTTTGGACTTTTGTGACCACACAGATAGGTACGTTAGCCCGACAGAATTTCACATCCTGAATCAGGCATATCGTTGTCAGTTTTTCCCAACACTCGGGCAAGTGAGGTCTTTGGGTGTGTGTATTCGGTCTCTTTCAGTTCAGTGCAAATTTTGATGGTCAGATTTTGATCCGTATGATCTAGTTTTGTCGGACATTTAGACTTAGCCATCTGATGGATGGTTGCTGTTGTGGTGTACCCCAGCGCGGTGACGACGACACTGAGGGTTAACCGAGGATGTACGTGAGTGGCCAGCCTATGGATGGTTTTGTTGTGGTGCACCTCAGCGCGGTGGCGACGACACTGAGGGCCAACCGGGGATGCACAAGGATGGCCAGCCCATGGATGGTTGCTGTTGTGTTGCCCCTCAGCGCGGTGACGACGACACTGAGAATTAACAGAGGATGTGCAGTGAGCAATGTTCTCTATACTCAGCAGTTTTTTAACCAAGAGTTGTAATTTTAGCTGTATGTTTGTCAACCCTACTCATGTTCCTAATGAGTTTTGATAACGTTTCACCCAAGCGTTTGGGGGCGGGCTGATGAGAGCCACAAGGACACATCACCTCTGGGGGCCGCCAAACTCCGAGATCCCCTGACAGCTCTGTTAATGCTCATTTGAGACATTATCCGTGGCGCACGACGAGGACGTGCTGTAGGGGTCTTGCGTGAGGATCTGTACAACCAGGATAGTGAAGGACTGGCGCCCGAGTGACGTACGGAGTATCTCCTTATACACATCATGATGGACTTAACTTCCCCTCACGCCTGTGACATAAATCACCGCGCCACGTTGCCACTTTAGAGCCACATACATCGAGGGGTAAGTAAAGGACTGGTTCCATGCCTTCAGGCATATAGGGCTAGACCTATATTTTATAGACCAATCAGCACTTGGTGGGTGATGTGGTCAGCATAACGCCAGCCGCCTTTACTTTCCATGGCTCCACCTGATACACATTTAAGACTGGATCGGCCTGGTAGTCAAGGCCCTTTAAAAAAAAGCTGAGCACTGTCAGGGCTCAAACCCACAACCTTCCGTTCAGCAGGCGAGTCTGGCCACTATACCACAGCGGCTCCCACTAAAAGAGAGTTGGTTCATAAAACAGCTGTCTGGTAATGAAAGAGCTAAAGATAACTTTTTAAAACAGTTACAGCATGTTAAAGTTAAACTGTACACACAAAGGAAATGAATGGTCGTAGACCACGAGGCAGACCAAGAAGAAAATTGAGAAATAATGTCCAGACAGACCTGCAAACACTTAGTGTCACCAGCTGTAAAGAGAAGACCAACCAGAGAGATGAATGGGGGTGGGCGATATCTGCAGCAGTGAACCTTAAGGGCTCAGAATGCTGAAGAAGAAGAAGAAAAGCATGTTAAATGATTTGTCTAGCTTCAAATACAGCATGATCTCTTGCTTGTTTTGTTTCAGTTAGTGCCAATGACCGGGTGACCCAGAGCATGGAGTCTCTCAATGTCCAGGGAGCCAATGTTACAAGGTATTGCCATGTATGGGGCTTTGGTACATGGAACATTCTAACCTCTTGTGTAGAAAATATGGACAGCTGCAGTTGGGTTGATGTCAGGAAGTTTTTTTTTTTTTTCATCGAACACCGGCTGTTAATTCCAGTGAAAGGTCCCGGTTAATCGTCCACTTGGACTTTTGGCTTTCACCTGGACCTGATTTTTGCGTGTACAACCGTTTTTCATTTCCCTGCCTCTTGGGCAGCTGTACGCCGACTTCGAAGGAAGACGTCAGGCCTATTTCTAGGGTGACTATGGCCATTGTTTTGTGTGGGTCGAGACGTTGCCTGATTTGTGTGGTGTCCATTTTGTCGCCTTCGCCGCAGGTATTGCCCCCGGGGGTAGCCCCCTGTGGAACAGTTGGCCCTCAAGGGAAGGCAGGGGCAGATCATGGGCATTCCCCGCCATCCAAGGAGGCTTCCATGCATGCAGAGCCGGCACATATCGCTCTGTTTCTGGGCTCACCCAAGGAATCGTCACGTCCTGCACATGCCTGCTTAACCTCACAACCGTATCAGGCCTCCCGCTCGACAGGGGCTGCGCCCTCTGGAAGTCTGCGGGGAGCAGCCTTTGGGTTTTGGACTTTTGTGACCACACAGATAGGTACGTTAGCCCGACAGAATTTCACATCCTGAATCAGGCATATCGTTGTCAGTTTTTCCCAACACTCGGGCAAGTGAGGTCTTTGGGTGTGTGTATTCGGTCTCTTTCAGTTCAGTGCAAATTTTGATGGTCAGATTTTGATCCGTATGATCTAGTTTTGTCGGACATTTAGACTTAGCCATCTGATGGATGGTTGCTGTTGTGGTGTACCCCAGCGCGGTGACGACGACACTGAGGGTTAACGAGGATGTACGTGAGTGGCCAGCCTATGGATGGTTTTGTTGTGGTGCACCTCAGCGCGGTGGCGACGACACTGAGGGCCAACCGGGGATGCACAAGGATGGCCAGCCCATGGATGGTTGCTGTTGTGTTGCCCCTCAGCGCGGTGACGACGACACTGAGAATTAACAGAGGATGTGCAGTGAGCAATGTTCTCTATACTCAGCAGTTTTTTAACCAAGAGTTGTAATTTTAGCTGTATGTTTGTCAACCCTACTCATGTTCCTAATGAGTTTTGATAACGTTTCACCCAAGCGTTTGGGGGCGGGCTGATGAGAGCCACAAGGACACATCACCTCTGGGGGCCGCCAAACTCCGAGATCCCCTGACAGCTCTGTTAATGCTCATTTGAGACATTATCCGTGGCGCACGACGAGGACGTGCTGTAGGGGTCTTGCGTGAGGATCTGTACAACCAGGATAGTGAAGGACTGGCGCCCGAGTGACGTACGGAGTATCTCCTTATACACATCATGATGGACTTAACTTCCCCTCACGCCTGTGACATAAATCACCGCGCCACATGTCAGGAAGTAACCTAGGTGCTTTATTAATATCCTACCCCCAGATGACGTCACAGGACAGTCCAACATTTTAGAGGGTCGTAAGACTGGGTTTCCTAGCTTTTTGATGCTTTTAATGACCCTAAAATATCTAGAACTGGCCCTAACCCCCAGCCCACCTACATCTCACGAGTGAGTGCAGCCTAGGTCCCACGACTGCATGCAGCCTATCTACCACCCCCTGAAATATTAGACTGTTTCGTGACATGTGGATTTCTCCTGTTTGGGGTAGGATGTTAATAAAGCACCGTAACCTAACTTGCCACAAACTTATAATTAGAAAGCTCAACAGAGGGAAATGAAAAGACGTTACATGCACAAACATAGCTGAATATTTTAACCAGTCTTATTCACCGTTCTACGCCACCTACTTAGCTATCTGGTCTACTGTTTATTGTCTACCCAATCTACTCAGTATGCTCTTTCTACTTAGCTATACAGTCTATCTTACAGTGTTCACAGTCTGCATTTTCTTTTTAACTGTACCATCTAGTTTACAGTATACTCTTTCTGCCATGTCCACCCAGTCTGTTGTTAACTCTAGAAATCTTGCTCTTTCTTCTTCCTCACTGGTGGCCATGTCTACCCACAGTCCCTTTGTCTCATGTATTTTCAGTCCTCTCTGGCATACATGGATCTCCCATGCCAGGCAGTCAAAGCTGTCCAGCATCTTCTCTCTCACTTTGCTGAGTGCAACTGTATGTATTTGAAATCCTGGTTCGTCTGCACTCATTGCAATGAACACCTGTGAATTTGCCAGACTTCGTGTTGATACACAACACTATTCGTTCATGCATTTGAATCCCTCTCAAAATTTTCAAATTTTTTTATTGTTGTTCTCCATCAAAACCTTCTGGTAGTTCGTCCATCTCTGGGATTAAATCTTATACCCGACCCTGAGTGTTGCATGCGCATCCGTTGTATAGATGTGACTTTTAACATAGGCAGATTGTTGGTTCCTTGCCTCTCAGACAGACGCACTCTGACTTCGGTGAAGCCCTCCCCCCTCCACTTAGTCAAATCTTATGACATGTTTGTTGGAAAGACAGTGGGTCTCTTCTAGTTTTCCCCCCACAATATGACCCACAAACCCACTCATCTTTGGGTTCCTAGATCAACCGGGCTTAAAATGATGCCGGGAAATTTCTTGGAAATAAAGGTGGGTGCTCCGCTATTGACCGCATCAATTGATGATTGAGCATCACACGGTAACAATATAAGACTCGAGAGGGGGATTTGAACACATGGTTAACTGATTGGCATGCAGTTGCACTGGCCACAGCATATCCTTAGCCGGGTTTAGAAAGAAAAAAAAGGGTAAAAGGCAATTTTCATGCCTTGTGGCCCAATGGATTTATAGAGCCAGACATACATTTTATATAGACCAGTCAGCACTCAGTGGGTGCTAGGACTGCTAGACTTCCCAGGACATTACCTGGTACCCATTTTAGACGGTAAACTTGAGAGCTAAGGTCAAAAATCCACCTCAGTGTGGATTTGAACCCATGGCTTTCAAGCCAGCAGGTGAATGTCTCGTCATTGTTACAGCGGCTTCCATCATAGCCAGGAGAAATGTAAAAAAAAAAAACGGTTAGACCATTTGATTTATGCTCTAAAGATTGTAGCCTCATTTCACTGACTGCATTGTTTGGCTCACATGAGCAATTTTAACAGAGATTCCTGGGGATAATCGGTGGAGCTATGGAATTTGTGACGTGTCTGTGATAGTGTCCCCATGTGGCTTGCCATATTGTAGGGAGAGACTCTGCTATTTGGGGTAAAACCAGTGCTCCGAAGTCCATCCTCTTAGCTCTAAATATCTATTAATTTAACCATAGAAGTTAATAAACAGTTTTGCTTCTTACGGTTCTCAGACTATTTGATGCAGTGTTGACAGTACGGCTGTTTGGTACTGTGTTGTCCACATTGCCTGTTTGATGCACTGTTGAACACATTGCCTGTTTGTTGCACTGTTAAACACATTGCCTGTTTGATGCAGGGTGACACCGACAGGCCGCATTGAAGATGGCGGAGACTTCACCGACTTCTACAACCTTCCTGAGGAGATGGACGAGTTTACCAGGATGGAGCTTCAAGCGTCGCAGGATGAGGTCAGTTATCTTGGCTCACCTCTTCTATTTTTATTGTCGTAGTTAATCGCAGAGATAACAATTTTTTCAGCCTTGTTGAATCTGCTGTTCTCAGCTATCTTTATGAACTCCAGCACCCAGTAATAAAAAACGTAAAGGATCCTTTTCAGGCCTTTGGGCATATAGGGCTAGACCTTTATTTTATTGACCAATCAGCACTTGGTGGGTGATATGGTCAGCATTGCGTCAGCCACCTTTACTTCCCATGAATTCCCCTGGTTCCCATTTAAGGCTGGGCCGGCCTGGGAGCCAAGGTCATTTTTAACAGAAGCTTGGCTCTCCCACTTCGAGGGAGCCACTGTGGTGCAGCGGCTAGGCATTGGCTGGTGAAGTCCTGGGAAGTAAAAGTGACCAGCATGATGCTGACCACATCACTCACCAAGTGCCGATTGGTCTATAAAATTTAGGTCTAGCCCTATATGCCTAATACATGGAAAAGGTCCTTTACTTACTTAAATTTACTTAGTATATCCGGGTGTCCCTGCATCACTGGAAATTGAACCATAGAAGCTAGCAAATTTAAGAGGTGAATTTTAAGACTTGCCAAAGCTTTATTTATAAAATTTGTAATCCTATCTTATGTTGGCAGAAAGAGTTGATTGTTGATTTGAAGTTAACCTGGTAAGTCACGTGACTATCATGAACTTCTGGTAATTTTTCAACAAAAGATCGCAAGACACCATTTTGTATTTCAGTTTAGTTTATTCATTTTTATGCTTCATTATATGTTGATATAATTGTAGTAATGCACTTGACACCTGGCAATACATTGTGCAGTGTATTGTCACTTGACACCTGGCACTACATTGTGCAGTGTATTGTCACTTGACACCTGGCACTACATTGTGCAGTGTATTGTCACTTGACACCTGGCACTACATTGTGCAGTGTATTGTCACTTGACACCTGGCACTACATTGTGCAGTGTATTGTCACTTGACACCTGGCAATACATTGTGCAGTGTATTGTCACTTGACACCTGGCAATACATTGTGCAGTGTAGTGTCACTTGACACCTGGCAATACATTGTGCAGTGTATTGTCACTTGACACCTGGCACTACATTGTGCAGTGTATTGTTTGTGTCCTTATTTTAAATCTAAGAGAGACTACTCTTATTTATAACATTAAAAAAAAACGTTCATGCTATTTCAGGAATTGGCCAGATTGTTGCAAGAACAAGAGCATAAGGTAAATAAAATATTTCTTTCTTTTTCTTCCTAATGTTTTCCAGCTGTAAACTCCAGCATAAAGTTTTGGTTGTTTGTCCACTTCTTTACTTCAGTCTTGCTTCAGAAATTTTGCACGGACATTATTTTACAGATCTGGCTTACTTGTATGCAAACTGTTGCTTTTTTTTGCAATCCTTGCGTCCTTTTTAGGATGAAATTTTTTGTTATTTGAAGCCCCAACCTGGCTTTTGCCAGGGGCCGCGATAAAGGCAGGCCAAAAATGTGGCCAATTGTCTGAACGCGGCTTCTGAGACGGTGATCCTCATCCACATGGTGGCACTATGTGTCATCAGGTGTTTGTCGCTTGTGTGATGTCCTGGTGGGGTAGAAAGTCAGTCAGTCAGTCAAACTGTTGCTTCCTCCCCTAGAGGGATCAGATGCTGTCTGACTTTGGAGGGAAAAAAAATCCCTTATTAGTTTTAACATGTTCTTATTTTGATGCTGTCAGTGAGAGGATGCTGTGGTCACCAGATTTGCACTGAGGCACTCACTGGTCGAGACTCGGGAGCAGCAGCTCTGCATCATCGTCATCATCATGTGCCTTGTCGACAGGCGTGGGCGATCATGCCGCTCCATAATCTGCGATCTCCTCCAGCATGTATCAGTTCGTGTGCCGACACAAATCCATGCCATGCAACAAGACTGTCAAGAATCTTTTCTCGTTGTCTTCCTCTATCCCTCCTTCCACAGATCTTTCCAGTGGTCGCAACATGTTCCATTTTGCTGCTTCTCATAACATGGCCGAAAAATGATGACTGTCTCCTTTTGATGTCTGTGATTAGTTGTCTGCATAGTTGTGCTTTTATTTGGCCTTTGATCCCTATTTTTTTTTGGTGATCTTTTAATGTCACGTTTGTGTACCTGCAAATTTGTCATGACTGCTGCTTCCGTTGTCAATGAACTGCAGTTCTGGTGATGGCTTGTTAGTGTTGAATTTTATGCGATTTTCACTGACACGGGAATATGACAATTATCAAATGATCCATTTGCGATATCAAGTGACCCATTTGCGATATCAGGTGACCCATTTGTGATATCAGGTGACCCATTTGTGATATCAGGTGACCCATTTGTGATATCAAGGGACCCATTTGCGATATCAGGTGACCCATTTGCGATATCAGGTGACCCATTTGTGATATCAAGTGACCCATTTATGATATCAAGTGACCCATTTGCGATATCAAGTGACCCATTTGCGATGACCCCTAACAGCTATTGCAACATGTAGACAGGCAGATGCAGTGTCTGAAATGATCTGTTCCAGAGAACAAAAGCCGAGATTGATCAAGAAAAACTACGGAAGATTGAGATTCAGGATGAACAGCTGGCAAGAGTTATGCAAGAACAAGAGAAACTTCGGCTGAAAAAGGCCAAACAAAAGAACCTGACTAAAAAAGATGCTAAAGTGAGTTGTTATATTTCTGACTGTATGTGTGTGTCGTGTTCTTCTTCTTCTGCCTTTCTAAACCCCCAATGGAGCTAAGGCCCACAACCAACTCACGCCGGGTCGTTCCTTTCTTCACTATAGCATGCAGCTCTCCCCATGTCCTCCCCATAATTTTTTGGGCTTCCTTTATTTCTGTGCCAATGTGGGTTCCAGTGCAAAGACATTCTAGATATATTGTTCCCAGGTTTTCTCAGTGTGTGTCCTATCCAACGCCAGCATCTTTTCTTCACCACTTGGTCCACTGGAACTTGTTTAGTTCTCCCCCAAAGCTCCACATTAGTGATTCTTTCATACCATTTAATTCCCTCTTTTCTGCACAGGCATCAGTTAATAAATGTATTGTGTTCTAATACATATTATTCTTCATCACGTTCACCGGCTGTAACTACAGCGGAAATTTCTGACTGGTTGTCCATCTCTAGGCTTTAGTCTTTTTCAAGAACCTGAGTTTTTAAGTTTTTTTAAGCACATCTTTTTACAGATCTGGCTTATTTTTACACAGATTGTTGGTTCCTTGCCTCTCAGGCAGATGTGCTCTGACTTCGAAGTAAGCCCCCAATTAGTCGACTGTTCATCAGGTCTATTCTATGTTCTCCCCACAATAGAGCCTCAAAACCCACACGTGGAATGTTATTAAGCAGGTATTGAGGTAGATTTTTGGGAACTGGATGCCATGGATCATGTTTCAGGGAGTGGGTAAATCAGAATGGGAAGTACGGATTAAATGAGAAAATGGTTGCAGATGGGTTAAGAGCTAAGTCTCTGAGAATATCTGTGTTAGTACCTGCAGTAGCAACGTTGGTCCTTAAATCCTATGCCTTATGGAGTGGGTAAATCAGAAAGGGAATAGGGATTAATGAGAAAGTGGTTGCAGATGGGTTAAGAGCTAAGTCTCTGAAAAGATATATATTAGTATCTGCAGTAGCAACGTTGGTCCTGAAATCCTATGCTCTGATTGTGGAATAATTTTCTGGTTGGTCACACTTGCCAATGCCAAGGGGTCATGATTCCCATGCCTCCCTGTAACCCTCCTATAACCTTCCTATAACATTCCTGTAACACTCCTATAATCTGTAACACTCCTATAAATCTCCTATAACATTCCTGTAACACTTCTATAAATCTTCTATAACATTCCTGTAACACTCCTATAAATCTCCTATAGCATTCCTGTAACACTCCTATAAATCTCGTATAACATTCCTGTTACACTCCTATAATCTCCTATAACATTCCTGTAACACTCCTATAAATCTCCTATAACATTCCTGTAACACTCCTATAAATCTCCTATAACATTCCTGTAACACTCCTATAAATCTCCTATAACATTACTGTAACACTCCTATAAATCTCCTATAACACTGTATAATGCTAACTTCTGGAAAGATAGAAAGGTTTCTACAGTAAACACAATAAGTATTTGGAAACAGCAATAATGGAGTGGTATATTTATTGAAAGAAAAGGCAAGGCGACCAGTATTACAGGATATTAAGGATGTCCTTATGGCCATTAGCGCGAGAACAGGATAATAAACTACTGAATGTAAGTTGCTTAATAGAACTCCAAAGTCACTGAATGATTTGCAATATCTTGTAAAGAATATGCAGCTAACTGTGTGTGTGTGTGTGTAGAGAAGGAGCTCAGAAGTCAATATCCCGTGTGGGTTTCAGGGGGAAACAAGAATAGACACACTGCCTCCCGAACAAGCATCTTGTAGGAGTTGACTAAATGGGTGCATCCTTTAAAGTCAGAGTGCATGCCCAAGGGGCAAGGAGCCAACAGTCTGCATACAAATAAGCCAGATCTACAAAATGGATACGCACACAACACTCTGGTTCTGGAAATTGACTAAAGTCTGCAGGAGCAACAACCTGAACTTTCTATCAGAATTTAAAGCAGGTCAGCGCGAAGAAGGCCTATATAGTTTTTTTTTTGGGTGCTTTATTATTATCCTACCCCAAATAAGATAAATTCACAGGTCACAGGATAGTGTAATATTTCAGGGAGTGGTAGGTAGGCTGCATGCAGTCATGAGACCTAGGCTACACTCTCTCATGGGATGTAGTCGGGTTGGGGTTCTAGATATTTTTGGGGTCGTTAAAAGCATCAGAAAGCCGGGAAACCCAGTCTTACCACCCTCTAAAATGTTGGACTGTCCTGCGACGTCATCTGGGGTAGGATATTAATAAAGAACCGTTTCTTTTGTTGTTTTTTTCCTCAGAGGCAAGTATCTACAGAATCTCTGCCACTTGGAGCTTCTGCTAACACTCTGAACCAACAGAAGCCGCAGCCACAACCTAATGCAGTGTCAGCAGCTGTGCCTATAAACACCACTGGGCCCAATAGCCGCTACCGCCGCAACAGCTACACCCAGGCATTTGACTCACCTCCTTCACCCCCTCACTCTCAACCCCCACAGAGACAGACATCAGACAGACCTGATCAGCCTCTGGGACAGCAAAGAAGCCAGCCTGATCCTAGTGTTGTGTCTACCAGCTATAGCCATACAAGCCAGCAATACATGAAAGCTCAAAAGATGATGTCACCACCACTATCCTCATCAGTGTCCAGTCCTAGATCTGCTTACATCGGTCCCGGAGGGGGACTGTCCACACTGGAGTCAGCCAGACGGATAGCAGCTGGCGATCCAGAGAGGATCATGGCACTGCAGAATTCACAAAACACGGTTATCAGCACAAGAGCAGGGTCCTTGCAGGACCGCCATGTTAACCCACGTGACGCCTCAAGCACAATGGATATTATCCGAGCCCACAGCCACCATGGAAACACAACAAGATCAGTCGCCGGCATCTCGGATCCTCGTCAAATTGGGAGACTTCCTCTGACTGATGCCAGCCCACTCACTCAACCGCACACAGCCGGTGATGCTCCTGTTGGCGCCGAACTGAGAGATGCGGACGCAACGGAGGTCCTTAAGTGGCTTACTGCACATGATAGTGCATATGACGGTACTAACAAGCAGCCTGCAAATCAAAAAGGGCAGACCCCACATCAGCACTCTTCTCGATCTGGTTCTGGAAGCTGTTACACAGATGAAGAAGAAGAGTAGGTATTGTCTTTGTTTCTTTCTTCCTCCTCTTTCCTCGCTCCAATTTATGCACTGCAAAATGTATTATGTCCAGCTTCTTCGTTATTTTTGTTCCTAAGGTTTACTTCTGCTGTACAGATTCTGCTAAAGGTAATGGGTTTCATCTAGCCTTTAGTAGGGGTTTATCTCATGTCTGATATTGTGATATAAATATCAGTTTACCATTTTGATATAAATATCAGTTAGTGGTATAAATATCAGATCACCATATGGCAGTATAAATATCAGATCACCAGATAGCAGTATAAATATCTAATCACTAGATAGCAATATAAATATCTGATCAGCAGATAACAATATAAATATCAGATCACCAGATAGCAGTATAAATATCAGATCACCAGATAGCAGTATAAATATCAGATCACCAGAAAACAATATAAATTCAGATCACCAGAAAGCAGTATAAATATCTGATCACCAGATAGCAGTATAAATATCAGATCACCTCATAGTGATTGCACATACTAGATTGTAACATATTGTCAATCACTCAGCTCACCAGACTTATTGAATCAAATCTCAGGTCATAAGATAAGGAAAGCTAATATGACGCTTGATTGTAATATATATATTACTATATATATAAATATAACATTTCACCATTTATCATACATATATCAGTTCACTAGTGTTTACCACACGTCAGTTTACCACTTCACCAGGTGTGAACACCACCAACCAGCCATGTCTGCTTCACACACTTACATGTCATGGGCAGAAGACAGCCGGTTCTTTCATTAATATCTTACCTCAGACGACGTCACAGGATAGTCCAACATTTTAGAGGGTGGTAAGACTGGGTTTCCCAGCTTACTGCTTTTAACGACCCCAAAACATCTATAACTGGCCCTAACCCCAACCCACCTACGTCCCACAACTGCATGCAGCCTATCTACCACCCCTGAAATATTAGACTGTTCTGTGACCTGTGGATTTCTCCTGTTTGGGGTAGGATATTAAAAAAACACCTGACAGCCATATGTGGTTAACTCACACACATCCATTCACCAAAGATCCACCAGTCTGTTTTGCACACCAGTCATTGGTCTTCTTTTTCACAGCTTTGAATAACTGTTTGTTCTTCACTTGCACACTAAAGGCTTCATTGTGGTCCATCTTCTTCTTCTTTGCATTCGGTTTCGTATGCTCAGGTCAGACCATCAGGTGGGTTGCCTCTGTGAACTCACATGTCAGCTGCAGGTCCTTCAATATTCCCCATAGCTTGCTCTTTACATTTGGCACTTGAGGCCAGGTTTCTTTCTGAAGTTGATTTTACAAATCTGACTCACTTGTAGGCAGGTGCACTCCAAATTCGAAGGAAGCTCCCAATTAGTCTACGCTTAAGCAAGCTAATGGGATTGGGGGGGAGGGGGAGGGGTAGTGGGTTAATTCTAGTTTTACCCTCAATAGGACCCTGGAACCCACAGGGGGATCACTGGATGGTGTGGTCATCATCACTTTGGGTACCTTTACTTCTCGTAGCATTACTTGGGAGCATCAACCTGGGAGCCAATTTTAGTTGTGAAAAACAGAATCTGCCTCAATGTGCCTTTGAACCCTCAGCCTTCGGGTCTGTGAGCGAGGGTCCAGACACTATGCTTCCACAGCTGCCTGGTTTGTTTAGGGATGTGGATAACATCAGATCCGGCAGGGGTTCCCAACCAATGCTCTGCAGAGCCATCAGTGACTCCATGGCCGTTTCAGGAGAATTAATAAATATCTATCCTCTTCTTCTGTCACTCTGTAACCTTACTTCTAAACAGGACCTTTATTTTTAGAAAGAAAGGTGCCGCTGCTCACCACAGACTCTGTATTATATTGCGCTGCTAAAAAAAAATTTCTTTCAAAAAAGATGCCGGTACTGTGTACTGCTAGAAGAAAGCCCTTCTCCTAAACACCATTAACTTGTAAGACGTAGGGCACAGCAGGCCTGAGGAACTGCACCATAGAAACTGATTCTTCTAAGGGTTCCTTAGGTTGAAAAAGTTGGTAGTCTCTGAGATGTGGGATGTACTACAGAAATAGAGGGCAGAATTGTCTTATTCGATCCTCCTCTCCTCCTGATTGAGCATTGGCCCTTAACCAGACTGTGTAGAACTTTTCTTTCTAACCTTTGCCATCTTCTACATTAGTTAGTTAGTTAGTCTTTCCTCTTGTGTCGAGTGCGGCACATAGGGCAGAGGTCATGACTCTCCATGCATGGCGGTTCGTTGCAATCTGCTGTAGGTCTTGGATGTTTGAGTGGCCCATGAGCGAGCCTTCCCTGATGATAGTTCTACGTAGGGTTTCCCTTGGTCTTCCACGAGATCTTTTCCCCTGTGGTGTCCAAATGAGGGCTTGGTAAGGAAGTCTTGATTTATCCATTCTAAGGGCGTGGCCGACATAGTTCCAGCGGCGTTTTCGTATAAAATTAGACACATACTCTTGCCTGGATTCTTGCCTTATTTGTGTATTGGTTCGGAAATCTGACCATTTGAAATTTAGTATTCTTCTAAGGCATTTATTTTCGAAACTGCTTACCACATGCCATCTTAATTTTATTCACTACTGCTCTCTAATTATTATTTCCTTATTTTTGTTTGTTTTTATTTGTTATTGTTAATGTCTTTATTTCTTTGACCGTGTGGGTTTCACTGTAAGAATAATTCTGCTGTTGTCCTATCTTATCAGTAAACAAATATTGTACTGTGCAAATAAATGCCTAAGGAAACTAGTGAACATTATATAAGAAGTTAAAGTTAGTGTTCATTAGTTTGCCATTGCTTCCTGAACGGTCAGCTCTCAGTACCACTGTCGAAACCAACGCAAGACAACACATTCACAGCTGGGATCGAACCTGGCACCCTTTTGGCAACGCCTAAATCACAGACGTCAACTATATCAGAAGAGAGCAGAGACTTACCAAACAGGCACTTAAATGGGAAACAGATGAGCTGAGGAAACAAGAATGTCCATAAGATGAATGGTTCAGAGAGAGCCTACTGGTGGACTGGATACCATTGGTGAAGCATAACATGATGATGATGAAATGGGCATGATAGGCATAGAGCTTAAACAATGTAGTTTGTATTGTAGATTTGATCTATGAATTTCTTTGAAGTATTTTATTTATTGCATTATAAATGATCACTAATGTACATTTTAATTCATTAACATTCTCATAGAGTAGAGACCCTTATAATTATTCCTTTTTATTTTTAGTTTATAATTTGTGTTAGGTATTTATTTAAATAATGCAGACACGAACAAAACATTGCACAATTTATTGCCAGGCATATTTTGCTGTACCTCATCGGATGCATTAGTACAGTGTTACATAAACATGTAGTGAAGTACAAAAACTGAATTAATTCGACTGAAATACAAATGGTCTCTGGATACATTGTTGTCCGGTCACCAGGAAGTCCTGATAGTCACATGACTTACCAGGGTAGCTTCATATTTAAATAGTAATACACCTTTGTTAAAATATCAGGTGACAGAAAGGATTGTGTGGCCCTTATTGCCAAACGTTTTCATTGTATAATATGTAAGGTCCCCGTGTGGGTTCCTGGGCCCCATTGTGGGGGAAAACAAGAATCGACCCACTGCCTACCCAAATTCATGTCGTAAGAGTCGACTAATAGGGTAGATTTCTTTGAAGTCGGAGTGCGTCTGCCTGAGAGGCAATGAACCAACAGTCTGCATTCAAAGGAATCAGATCTGTAAAACTAATGCCCATGCGGCACTCAGGTTTTAGAGCAGGGCTGCAGTTCAGAAGGGGACGATAAACCAGAACTTTCCGTCAGAGTGTACAGCTGGGGAACGCAAAGAAGAAGATATGTAAAGTACCTTTTTCCACGCCTTCAGGTGTATTGGGCATATAGGGCTAGACCTGTATTTCATAAGCCAGTTGGCACTCTGTGGGTGATGTGGTCAGCATCACGCAGGTCACCTTTACTTCCCAGGACATAACCTGGTACCCTTTCTCACTCAAGGCTGGGTAAAGCTGGGAGCCTAGGTCATTTTTTAAAACAGTCCAGCTGATCAGGGCCTTCGGATCTGCATGTTTGTGGGACACTGAGCTTTAAATAGTAATAGTTCTTGAGCAGTGCGGACAACAAATGGAAGCCGCAGTAAGTGAGGGATTAGCAGTACGATTCTTTCTAGTCTGCCTCCGTTTCTTTGCCTGTGCAACCTCCGCTGCCTTGCAGGCCAATGCACCATGTCTGAGGGACGTACGCCATCCAGAACGGTCTTGTGCAGCAGCCTCCCATGTCACCGTGTTGATGCCAAAAGAATTTAGAGCAGTCTTCAGAGTGTCCTTAAAAAGCATATAAGTACTAAGTTAATTAGGAACAGTACTCATAAGAAGATAGCAGTTACGTTTTCATTAATAAAGAAATGTGTGTTTAGATAGGAATCAGTATGGGGATTTTAAAAACAATTATTTAAACAACTGTTTATAGAGCCCAGTTTTCAGTTTTAGAAATGAGCTTTGTAGAACTGTTTAAAATGTGATTTGTTTTAACTCCATTTATTTAATCTTCCTATCATTTAACCAGCACTCTTGGTGGTTTGGTCCTGCCTGAAGAAATGTTAATATTAAGATGTAGACGCTTAACTTTCACCTTACTTCTCCCCCCTCAGCCCTCACCACGGTTCTTACCCAAATGGTTCAGCAGGGTTTAACATTGCTACAGCCATTGATCCGACTTACCAGCGCAGACACCCCGAGGCCTGCTACTCCGAGGAAACACACCTTAAATCTCATATCCCATTCTCACGGTCTTTACCACAAACTGGTGAGGCCTTTGTTTTAAAAACTTAACCGTTAGCTCATTCAGCATGCTTTTTTTTTTTTAATCTGGCCAGGATTTTTCTTTAGAAACATATATACATCATAGGCAGGCACAAAAGATACATACTGTATTTACATGTGCGCAGGCCACTGTATTTTAACTAAAAATTGTTGACAAAAAGTAGGGTGCTGCTTATATTTGAGATATAAGGCTTACATGTTACTTGTACAATTTTTATTAATAAACAGTACAATGATTCTTCGCGGCGTCCGTGGCTAAGGCGTTGCGAGTCCGACTCGTAATCCAACGTACCGCGATCGAAACCCACTACTGGCTGCGTGGATTTTTATCATGGTTTAGGGCGTCGCAGGTCAACCCAGCCTAAAATGGGTACCAGGATGACTGTCCTGGGGAAGTAAAGACGGCCGGCGTAATGCTGACCATCCAGTGCCGATTGGTCTAAAAATATATGGGACGCTCTTCTCATATACCCGATGCACCTAAGGCGTGAAAAGTGATCTTTACTTGTTTACTTACAATGATTCTTCAGTCATCCACCCTTTCTCTTGTACTCCTACCAATATTCCAGGTAGTAGCTTCTCCTTAGGCGTGGATTTACATAATCTTCTTCTTCTTCTTCTTCGCATTCACCAGCTGTTAACTCTGGTTGTTCATCCACTTCTGGACTGCAGTCCTGTTCCAGAACCTGAGTTTTACGTGTGCATCCGCTTTACAGATCTGACTCATTTGTATACAGACTGCTGGTTCCTTGCCTCTCAGGTAGATGCACTCTGACTTTGAAGGAAGCTCCCAATTAGTTGACTCTTACGACATGCTTTTGGGTAGGCAGTAGGTCTATTCTTGTTTTCCCTATAATAGGGCCCCGGAACAAAACGGGAGATTTACATTAAAAAATGATGTAAAGTGGGTGTTAGTGTCTGTTAGGGGTGATACCTTTTGTGTGTCTGTTAGTGGTGATACCTTTTGTGTGTCTGTTAGTGGTGATACCTTTTGTGTGTCTGTTAGTGGTGATACCTTTTGTGTGTCTGTTAGTGGTGATACTTTTTGTGTCTGTTAGTGGTGATACCTTTTGTGTCTGTTATGGTGATACCTTTTGTGTCTGTTAGTGGTGATACCTTTTGTGTGTCTGTTAGTGGTGATACTTTTTGTGTCTGTTAGTGGTGATACCTTTTGTGTCTGTTATGGTGATACCTTTTGTGTCTGTTAGTGGTGATACCTTTTGTGTGTCTGTTAGTGGTGATACCTTTTGTGTGTCTGTTAGTGGTGATACTTTTTGTGTCTGTTAGTGGTGATACCTTTTGTGTCTGTTATGGTGATACCTTTTGTGTCTGTTAGTGGTGATACCTGTCATTATGGCACTCAGCTTTCTGCTCCTGACGTTTGCACACGCACTGTGTTATCACCAGCCTTGTTCACTGTTGTTTCACCGGGCACATCGAAGAATAAGGGAGTTATAGATGCATTTCCAGTTGCCCCTATGCTGTAGTTGTGTGTCTTCTGTAACTTTACAACATGTCTTTGAAATGCAGTTTCTCCTGCTAGGTATCAGGAAGTAGCTGTGCTATTGTTGTTCACTGTTGAATCACGAGGTCATTTCATGCCATAAGTACCGGACCTAGCTATAATTGGTTTTAAATTCACTCTGAGGAATTCCTATCTAACGCTGCGTACAGGTACTAGTGTTTCTGTTTTGGTCTTTTGAGGATCTCAGAAAATTATGTGTCCCCCCTAAAATTATCATCTCAGAAACTGGGTGCAGCCTATTTACGCATAAATACGATATATACATGTATACACACTCACGATTTCTAGAAAAATCACAATCGATCGTTGGTAAGGTTTTTTTTAATTAGCGGCTTACCATATGGGGGGGGGGGGGTACCCCATTAAAAAGTATTATATAAAAATGAATAACTGAGGGATGTGCTGGGCCAAAAAGTGTAGATATTTCAGCCTAGCTGTCAACTACAACACAGTGTTTAAGGACAAACATAGAAGAACATTTTTGACAGGATGGCTTATCTACCCTTAAATTGTTTGTTCCTAATTTATGGCAGGCAGAGTCGATGGTACTCATACTGAAGTAAGTGCTGCTGCTTAAAGTTATAGAGTTCCATAAATGTTTCAGGGCTCCTGTGTGTTGGGGTCGGTTGGGGGGTGGGTGGTTTAGATCCAGTGTCCTCTAACCAGCAGGTCCTGAAACACCAAAGTTTGCTCAACAAGGCTGTATTGGTCAGAGCCTAGCTGTGAACCACAAGTCAGCGTGCCAGCTACCCTTGTGAGGTTGAAAAACAGAAGAAGAAAACAAGTTTTCCTTTGGTGCTGCCTAATTTGAGAATAACTAACTTTCAGAAACCTCAGTATTATCTGCTTCCAAATATAAGTGGCTGTCACATCTAGAGAGGGGGGGGGGGGGGGGGTGTCTTTGAGTCTGAGGGTTTAGGACCACATGGCTAGAGCTGTCGTCACAGACTGTGCAGGCTTCGAACCCAGGTCTCCTGCATTAGAGTCCAGCGTTCTAACCATTTGGCCAACCGCTCCTCATCTCTATAAAAACATGTAATGATAGATTAAGTGTATAAACATCATTTTTATAGAGAATGTCATGCTGAATGAGTTAACTTGTCTGTGCTTTTGGTGGTGTTATGTGTTTTATCATGTGATTTCATTAATCTGTGTTTGTTCAAGATATTAACTCTGTTAAATCACTCATATTCAGCAGTTAGTCATGCATGAGAGATTTCTTTGAAATCTTCTTACTTACCCAGATGCAGTATATTTTTTTTAAGTTAGTTAACTCATTTGAGACCAGACAATATAGTGTACGTCCACTGGTTGCTTCAGTCACGTACAGTTGTTAACTTGCTTCGCTGTGTGGGTTTCAGGCACCATTTTGGGAGAGAAGGAGAATAGACCCACTGCTGTAACAAGCATGTCGCAAGGGGCTACTAATTAGGGGTGTTTTCAGAGTGCATTTGCCAGAGAGGAACCAACAGCCTGCCTGCAAATAAGGCAGATGTGTTGAATGGATTTGCATGCAAAAATCAAGTTCTGGAACATGATGACCAAAGCCCAGAAGTGGTTGCAAAGAAGCTTTGTATATCTATTATTTTCTGGCTTCAAATTGCACTTTTTGTTTACAATTTTTTTTTTGTTTTTTGTTTTTGTTTTTATTTTCTTAGATTTTCTGGTGGTTTGGTTTCACTTTTTTTCATTTCAATGTTACTGGTTGTTAGAAGTAAAATGTAACTATGTACTTGCAAGCTGTTTGACTCAGAACAAATGTCTGAACCCATTTTGCTTCAAGCATCAAAGCTTCTCTGAGTCTCACAGGTGGTGTTATACTGCTTATTAACTTGAGTGTTCATGTTTTCATGTCTAGAGAAACAGCAAATGGTCAATTCCGACATTGCAAGAATTAATTGTAATCATAGCCAGTAGTATACTCTTTATGTAGTTAGATTTGCTAAACTCTGAATTAACTAAAATACATTTTTAAAAATTAAAGGACAGTGCATTTGTATGAGAGACATAATCACAGATATAGGCAATTTATTTCAGGCGAATAAACGGAGATGACGACTGGGCAGTCTTTAAGGGTACAATCCTGAAAGTGAAAAAATTTGAACGCAAACTGGCCAACCAGAGAAACACTTTCGGACTAAATAAAGGCTAATAAAACCATACACAACAATAATATTGTGTGCAGTGTTACATGCGTTTTTGAAGTTACAGTAAAACCTTTGTTTCCATGAATTTGTTTTTATGAATTTCAAGCGACCAAAAATCTGGTTCATGTTTAAAAAAGGTTGTGCTGACTGCGGACCAATAATAATATATCCTTGCTTAGACTAAAATGTTAACCCAAGTGTTCTTGTTAAATGTACTAACCCTTTTACTCAGGGGAACTGTAGAACTGATATTTCTGGATGGTACCATTTCCCCATAAAAGCCGTTTTCCTGACTCGCTGTAGAGACATGTTTAGCCAGCAGAATTCACTGCATCCGTCTTCGTGCAAACATTCAGTGTGCCAGAGGATGACTAGATTTACTAAAAAAAAAAACATTTAAGGGCATTTAGTTGTAGAAATGTTTACATCCCTTCTCTCCCTCGCTAATTGGCTATATTCACAAGAGATGTAAGCCAGTTGATTATATGCTGAATTCATTGGTGTTGATTACTTCCCTTACTTTGTATAGTATGTTTCCTATCCTCCTCCTTCTTTCGTTTGCCTCCCAGCTGGTATTAGGTTGTAGCCCAGTGTCAAGGTTTTCTGTATGTGTCTTGTGCTTCTCCCAGGGCATGGATGACGCATTTGCTCCTCTGGGGTTTTTTCCCTCCAGGTTTCTGATACTCCATTTATCCTTCTCATGTGCAGTTTGGTCTGGCTGCATTGTCACTAAGTAACTGAACCATTTCATTAGTTGTCATAGCTTGAAGTCCTTACGTCCTTTTCAGGACGTAATTTTTTGTTATTTGAAGCCCCACTCTGGCTTTTGCCAGGGGCCGCAATATAGGCAGGCCATAAAAATGGCCAAATGTCTGAACGCGGTTTCTGGGACCTCTCCACGGTGATCCTCATCCACATGGTGGCACGTTGTGTCATCGGGTGTTTATCGCTTGTGTGATGTCCTAGTGGGGTAGAAAGTCACTCACTCACTCATTAGTTGTCTGTTGGTATCTTCTTCGCGTTCACCAGCTGTAAACTCTGGTGGAAGGTTCTGGTTGCTCGTCCACTACTGAACTGCAGTCCTGCTAGAGAACCTGAGTGTTGCGTGTGCATCAGCTTTACAGATCTCATTCTCTTGAATACAGACTGTTGGTTCCTTGCCTCTCCAGCAGATGCACTCCGACTTCAAAGGAAGCTCCCCAATTAGTCGACTATTAAGACACTGTCTTATTCCAACTTTCTCTCTAATACTGGTATTTGTAACCCTGTCCGTTGTGTTGTTAGTGACCTTTCAGCAACAGTACATTTCATAGGTAATCTTCTGGTTTTGTGTCCTATTCATTGTCCATGTTTGGCACTGATAGCATGTAGTGGGGATGAAGATGTCGTTAATCATTTACTGTTTTGAGTGCCTGAGCAGGGGAAAAAACCTGGCGTGTGACAGCATTTACCTTCTGTATTCTTGCTTCTATCTCTCTATCAAATCTGGCAGCTTGTGTCAAAATGCTGCCAGATATTTGAATTCTTGTACTTTTGATTCTGGTAGTTTTAATGTAAAAATTCATTCTATCATTATCATGCTTTTGTTATTTATATTATGTTGTAGATGATAAATTGATTTTATGTAAATTTTCATGATCTGTAAAAGGGTTGCTTTTTGTAGGGATAAAAATATATTCCAAAAATAGATTTCAGAAGCTTGGCTTTATTATTTCTAGGTCAATGTGGTGAAAAGGTTAACACAGTTTTGTTTTTTTTTTTTGTTTTTTTTACTGTAACGAATTTACCAGACAATTTACTAGACAGTTTTGGTAGTAGTCAGTTAGTAATATTTTCTTGATATTTATCTGAGTCTGTGGATTATTCTTCAGACGGAGAGCTAGAATGGGACCCGGGTCTGCGAGGAAGTCTAAGAAAAACTAAGGCGCCTGTTCATGGTTTCCAAGGTGATTAGATGTTGTTGTATGTCCGACATTAAGTGTGTGGCTATTGTTGACTTCTTCAGGGTGTCTGCTGTGTCTTGACATCACTGTGTCTTGACATCATCATGTCTTGTGTCTTGACATCATCATGTCTTTTGTCTGCTGTGTCTTGACATCATCATGTCTTTTGTCTGCTGTGTCTTGACATCATCATGCCTTTTGTCTGCTGTGTCTTGTCATCATCATGTCTTTTGTCTGCTGTGTCTTGTCATCATCATGTCTTTTGTCTGCTGTGTCTTGTCATCATCATGTCTTTTGTCTGCTGTGTCTTGTCATCATCATGTCTTTTGTCTGCTGTGTCTTGTCATCATCATGCCTTTTGTCTGCTGTGTCTTGTCATCATCATGTCTTTTGTCTGCTGTGTCTTGTCATCATCATGTCTTTTGTCTGCTGTGTCTTGTCATCATCATGTCTTTTGTCTGCTGTGTCTTGACATCATCATGCCTTTTGTCTGCTGTGTCTTGTCATCATCATGTCTTTTGTCTGCTGTGTCTTGTCATCATCATGTCTTTTGTCTGCTGTGTCTTGTCATCATCATGTCTTTTGTCTGCTATGTCTTGTCATCATCATGTCTTTTGTCTGCTGTGTCTTGTCATCATGATGTCTTATGTCTGCTGTGTCTTGTCATCATCATGTCTTTTGTCTGCTGTGTCTTATCATCATGTCTTTTGTCTGCTGTGTCTTGACATCATCATGTCTTTTGTCTGCTGTGTCTTGACATCATCATGTCTTTTGTCTGCTGTGTCTTGACATCATCATGTTTTATGTCTGCTGTGTCTTGACATCATCATGTCTTGTGTCTGCTGTGTTTTGACATCATCATGTCTTTTGTCTGCTGTGTCTTGACATCATCCTGTCTTGTGTCTGCTGTGTCTTGACATCGTCATGTCTTATGTCACTGTCTTGTCATCATCAGGTGTACTAGTTGTCCATGTCTTGACATCGTCATTTCTTTTATCAGTGTTTTGTCAAGTCATCATCAGATGTGTACTAGGAGTTGTCCATGTCTTGTGTCTGTGTTTTGACTTCATCATGTGTGTGCCAGCAGTTGTCCATATCTTATGGGCGAACAGCCAGAACTTTGCCCTGGAGTTTACTACAGCCAGTGAACTCTAAGAATAGAAGAGAACAGTGTGGCCAAAGTAATGTTTCAGTTTTCCTAAATGTTTTTTTTTTTTTTTTCAGATTCCTCTACATGCGGTTCCTTTGCGTCTGTTGGCACTTTTGGCGGGGAACCAGTCATGTCAGCTTGGCAGCCAGTTCAAGGACAGAGACGAGGAGACACAAGGTCACGTAACAAGAACAAAAAGCAGAGCTCTTCAGACGGTGACGGTAAAAAAGACAAAGGAACCTGCAAGCAGCAATAACTTCAGCAATATATCCCAGCTAATTCATTGGCCAGCGGTCATCGCAGCAAATTCATTGGCCAGCGGTCATCGCAGCAAATTCACAGCTGTATCATCACAGTGCAGAATGATATTAACTCTTTTTTATTTTTTTACTTTGGGCGGGGAATCCTTTGTTGTTGTTGTCTGATACTGTATTGATAACATACAAATCAGATTCATGTACAAATTTGTTTGTAATATGTACATTTAACAATTATTATTTCAGTAATTGGTTCTTCCATATATTTTATTTCACGCTGTTTTGTTTACATCTCCTTTGATATAATGTGAATGTAGGCGAAATATTTTGTAGCATCATTTACCAGATGTACTATTTCATACGAATTTGTGAATATTTTGTTGTTGTTGCCTTTAATATTTTTGTGTTAAAATATAGAACTTTGGTGCTGTGATTTTGTCTACTTCTTATTTTACTTCTTCTTTCTTCTTCGCGTTCACCAGCTGTACACTCTGGTGGAAAGTTCTGGTTGCTTGTCCACTACTGAACTGCAGTCCTGCTCCAGAACCTGAGTGTTGGGTGTGCATCAGTTTTACAGATCTCATTCTCTTGAATACAGACTGTTGGTTCCTTGCCTCTCCGGCAGATGCACTCCGACTTCAAAGGAAGCTCCCCAATTAGTCGACTCTTACGACATGCTTTTGGGGAGGCAGTGGGTCTATTCTTGTTTTCCCCACAATAGGGCCCCGGAACCCACGGGGGGGGGGGGGGGGGGGGGGGGGTTCTTATTTTACAATATAGTTAACTTTGGGGAATAGTGGGCTCTTATTGCATAACTGCAGCGTTTTATTTTGGACATGTGCACGTGCACACAACAGGTCAACTAGGCTGTTCGCCTGTTGTTCACTTGTTCATAAGAAGCTGCACTATACAGGGTACCAACTCTCCGCTGGGTCGACCTGGGAGCAAAGGTTATTTTTTACACGTCCAGCTCCTTTGGGACCTGAACTCACAAATTTCTGATCTGCAGGCAATAAACCCCATTGCCTGTCATATTTTGCTGTATTTTGACAGGTGAAATATTTACTAGTGCGCCTTTTTAGGTATAGTGATAAGTGTCAAGCTTCTTTTAAATTCACAATGGGGAAAATATTGGTTTGAATTTCTAAAAATGAAGTTAATTTTGTAAGCTCTTTTTTTTTTGTATGTTTCCTAGTGTGTAGTTTTTATTAATTTTTTCTTAGAGTAGCAAAGTAATGTGTTGTCGGCACTGTTGCAAAGTCACCTGTGTGCTAAATCCTTGTTTCGAGGAAATTGTGTTCGAATATTGAAATCAGATCTTCTTTTTGTTCTTCGATTCTATATTCAGAAAATTTTTATTAGGAGGCCTTTATGAAAGCTATCGTGCAGTCCATATCTTCTCGTGTACCATACAGTTTTGTCTTCATTGTGGTTGGAACAGGCCAGATTGCATCTCTGTTGTCCGCATACAGTTGACATTGTTGGAGCACATGTTCAACATTTTTGGGTGCCAAGTTGCAAGGGCACGTCTCCATGTTTTCTACACCCAAAAGTTTGAACATATGTTGACGAAGTCGGTAGTGCCCTGTCCTTAGTCTGAATATAATACACTGTCCCTCTCTAGACAGGGGATGAAGCAAATCTTGAGGAGAGAATTTGGTGTGTATATTGCCTGAAAGGTAATATTCATTTTAGGCTATTTAGAGTATTAATTTGTGTTTGCCATTTGCATATTGTAAAGCACTTGTTTCCAACCTGGGGGCATGCCCCCCAAGAGGGGCACACGAAGGTTTCTAGGGGGTTTTCAGGCTATTTTTGAAAATTAGTATTTGAAGCAAATCCGTTAACATGTATTTAGGTTGAGTAAAATATATGTTAGAACTATTTATTACTTTTAAAACTATTATTTATTAAATAAAATAACTATGAAACTTTTATTCACGAGGGGTTTGTAAATGTACCATTAAAAATCTATTTAAAATGACAGCACATGCATATAATTATAGATTGAGAAAACGATTAGGACCAAAAACGTATCTGCATACTTTCTGTTTCCCTCATTGCGGAATCTGTTATAATCCTCATTTTAATCACATTTTGAAATGTTGGGGACTTCTGGGAGGAGGCTTGGGGCCCTTGCAATATACTCAATTGGGGCCTGGGCCCTTGCAATATACTCAATTGGGGCATGGGGGCCTTGCATGATACTCAAGGGGCACAACTTGAATAAGTTTGGAGATCACTATTGTAAAGTGACAAGTAACAGCCGGGGAAATTCACTTACATTAAAATTTTCATAGTTGCTCTTGGTTTAACTTTTAGGTGGATTGTGTCCCTTTGGCATATCATAAAACAGCCCTGAAAATCCCCTTAGGCGAAAATCGTCAGAATTGTTCTAAGTTGACTTTGGCGTAGCGCCAACATATATCTTGTCTCTAGAGATTGAAGATGGGAAGGATATACTTTCTGATTTCATTCTGTGTTGCCCAGTATCACTCAGGATTGTTGCTGGCTTCCTGGCACACAGGTCACATAAAGCACAAACTCTGTAGCTCCAGTGATGACACCCAGGGATCTGCTAAAAAATGTACCCCTGTATACTATATAGTGCATTTAAAAAATGAAATTACTACCTTTGAAGCACATGGCAAATGGTTTCACCATTTTGCCGCATGAAGCCTCATATTTGAGGTATTATCATGAATTGTACTTGTTACCTTAGTAATGCTTAAAAAAAATTGGTAATTGTTGGGGGAAAAAAAATCTTTTAAAAATGCAACAGGGACTTATAAATTGTTTTAAAATGTATTTGTCAACGTGGTTTTTCATTAAACTATTCAAAAATTTGTAAAGGGAATATCAATAAACAAGAAAATTTTAAAAAATAAAATAGGCTACATCACCCGGGGCTAAAAATAATGTGTATCAGCTGATTTATGCTGTGACCTTTATCACTGAGGCTTACAGGAACATTCGACATCAACTTTTAAAATGTTTTTTTCACAGGAAAATATCCCTTTAATGCTAATTTTAGCGAATATATTTGTATCCTGACCTCCTACACTTTTTTGTTTTGCGCAGGTGCAAACACAGCCAATAATGTTAACTGGGCATCATGTAAACACATCACAGTAGGAATATCAGTTTGATGGCTTTTGGGGAGTTATACCCAGTCAAAAGTGTCAGTTTTGCGACCTCTTGGGACAACATGGTAGAGTCCATTTTCTCCTATTAGGTGTGTCAGGCAGTTGTTTCCCTGTTCCATAGTGCTTATTCTTCTCCTCCTTGTTCTTCTGCCTTTTTACTCCCCGTGGAGCACAGGCCCTCAACCAACTAGCACCAGGGATAAGTGTGTAGCTGTTTGAACAGAATAGAAGGAATTAACTAATGTGACAGAATTACTGATGTGGAGTTTAGAAAGAGAACTTAACACATTCTAGCAGATCAAGAGATGCACACCGACTTTAAAGGAAGCTCCCAATTAGTCTACTCTTACGACATACTTTTGGGTAGGCAATAGGTCTATTCTTGTTTACCATATAAGAGGGCCCAGGAACCCACACAGGGAACTTGATAGTGATGATGATGATGATCATCATCATCATCAAGGCCCACCATTCGAAGGTGCCCCAGTATAACAGTGCTATATGGGAGAACAGGATTTTTTTCAGTATGATTCTCATCTTTGAGGGTCTTAGTCCTGCAAACCTGAAAGGGGGGGGGGGGGGGGTCGGGGGTGCTGAATGGAAAATCATGGCCTGAGCAGTGTTGATCACATCAGCTACTGGGGGTTGAGTTGAGTCAAGAATTAACATCACAGCACTGGGGCCATTCCCATGCATGCTTCATCTTCAACAGCCAGCACAGAGTTCCAGTACTGACGGTACCAGTCACAATCTGGTTATATGTCCGTCTTGCCTTTCCTCTGAGTGTAGTGAGCTGGCCAGACCCTCTGGTTACACCCAGGTGCCTCATTCTCTCCAGGCCATAATACTGGGGGTCAACTGGTCTAATAAAACTTGAGTCTGGCATCATATGGTGTAGAGGCTAGATACTTGCCTGCGGGTCTGAAGGTCGTAAGTTCCGGTTCACATGGAGTCCGATTGGTTTTCAAACATGACCTTAACTGCCAGGTTGATCCCGCCTTTAGTGGGTACAGGGTAAAGTCCTGCGAAGTAAATGTGCCTTTTTGCTTTTGAGCACATCACCTAGTAAAGGTGGATTAGTCTATAGAAATAAGAGTATATCCTCGCATGCCTGCCCCACTAGTGTGTAAACGGATATTTACCTTTTTGTTTCTTGTTAATGTTTCACAAGACTCATATGCCCGATGTAAGAATGGCGTAATGGGTCTTGTGTTTTTACTGAATTCTTGTTTCTACAGCGATGGAAAGTCCTGGTTGTTTGTCTATTAGGACTTTGGCTTTGAGCCAGAGCCTGAGTTTTGTGTGTAAATTTGTTTCACTGGCTTATTTGTGTGTAGTTGGTTCTTTCTTGCCTCTTGAGCACATGCAATCTGACTTTGAAGGAAACCCCTTATTTTCGACTCCTAGGACATGCCTTGTTGGGGAGGCAGTGGGTCTGTTCTTGTTTTTCCCCACAAGGGGACCCCGGAACCCACACAGGGGGTTTATACTTACCATATAGCTAATGAGCCTCATGATGTGAAAGGGACCCTTTGCTGTTATGTTTTCCCTGTTTGGGTTCCCAGACCTTATTGTGTGGGGGAAAAACAAGACCAGAGCCCCTGCCTCCCTAACAAGCATGTTGTAACAGCAGCTAATTAGGGGGTTTCCTTTGAAGTTGGAATTTATCTTCCTGAGAGGTGAGAAGCCAACAGTCTGCACACAAATAAGGTAGATCTGTAAAATGTAAATGCACACAACATGCAAGTTCTTGAAGAAAACTACAGTCCAGAAGTGGACAAACAACCAATACTTTCCGCCAGAGTTTACAGCTGGTGGACACACAGAAGCTGAGCTGTTTAAGTGTTGCTTCC